CCGCTCCGCTCCGCGCTCACAGCGGAGCTCTCCGCGCTCCGGTGCCGCTCCGCTCCGCTCCGCTCCCGGCCGCGCCATGGGCACCACAGTGGCCCGGCCCCACTGAGCGCCGCCACCGGCACCGGCAGCCCCGCTCCCTAGCGCCGCGGAGCCGCGGAGCCGCTCACCAGGATCCCCAGCTCAGCTCGCTGATAACCTCTGCTCCAGCATTCCTGCTATCCCAGGCTCCCAGGAACCTGCTCTCCCTAGTCCTCCCATACTCCGACTCGCCAGCTCCTCCTAACCCAGCTCCCTGCTAACACGCTTTCCCAGGCTCTCCTGTAACACCAAACCCTGTTTCTCTGGTCCAGGAGCTCCCCAATACCCCCGTTCCCTTGCCCCTGAGCTCCCTGGTGACCCGGACAGCCTGGCCATGGCGTTCATGGTGAAGAGCATGGTTGGGGGGCAGCTGAAGAACCTCACGGGTGGGCTGGGCGGCGAGGAGAAGAGCGAGGGTGAGAAGTCGCCGGCGGAGGCACAGGGCATGACCCGCGAAGAGTACGAGGAGTATCAGCGGCAGCTCGTGGAGGAGAAGTGAGTTCAGGCGGCACCAGAGCCGGGCCTGGGGGGYGGCACAGCCGGAGGCGGTTAATGACCCCCCTATAATCCCTTAAGCCGCTTCTTCACCCGGGAGATGGGATTGCTCTCTCCTTTTGGACTATGTTGTGGTGTTGGTGTCATRGGGGTACGGGGGCAGGTGGCAGATCCCTGGGAGGCGGGATGGAGATGAGCCCAGGAACGGGGGGCATGCATGGGACAGGGAGTCTTCATGGGTCCCAGACCCGTTGTGGGGCCATTGGCCACCAGTAACTGCATCCTGTGCTCCGCAGGATGGAAAGAGATGCCCAGTTTGCACAGCGCAAGGCGGAGAGGGCTACCTTCAGGTCCCACTTCCGAGACAAGTACCGTCTCCCCAAGGTATGACCAAGAACAGAGGTGCTCACAGGGAGCACAAGCCCCCTCTCCCCCCCAAAACTCTGCTGAGGGCTCCACTAATGGCGGGGGAGGCAGGTGAGACTCTCCTTCCACAGGGGCAGACCCAATGCCATGGTCTGAGCCACCCGCTCTGTTGGTCTCCAATGATGGGATCCCTAAGGCACCTCCTCCAGTTTGCTTGGTCCTCTCTTAACTTCAGCTCAATGGGAGAGCTCGCTCCATCTCAGCCCAAATTACACCTTCCGCAGAGGATTAGCCGGCTCCTCTGCCCGGATTACTTGGCCAACATTCCTTGGCTGAATTGCTCTTTTGGAACTTCTTCCCAAAGAGCAATTTACCAGGAACAACCTAATCAGTGGCAATTCAGTCATCTTTGGCCTCTGTCTCCAGCACCCCCTCTCTAGTGTGAGCCTGCCCAGCTGCTCCATGCTCAATGCTCCCAATTGGAGCTGGGCTAATTTTAGCTGAGGGAGGTTGGCTACGCCAGGGGATACTGTCCCCAGCGCCCATCTTGTACAACCTGGATGTATACACCAATCCCTTTACACCTGATTCCATATCAGGATATAAAAAGCTGGAGGATTTATCCTCCTCTGCTGAAGACAAGAAGATGGAGATTTTTCTCCAGGGGAAACGGGGATTTGCTCAGACAGAGCCCCCGATCCTGCCACTGCTTCCTAATGTTCAAGATGTCCCTTCTTACACGCAGACAAATTTCCCATGCTCATTACTCATCCCACTTGACAGTCACTCTGCCTGGGGGGCTCCTCAGTGCGGCAYTGACCTCGCTCCGCTCGCCACACGCCATGAGTGCGCAGTGCTGTGGGAACTCGCCATGTCTCACCAAATGCTCACCGTGGAGCTCATCGCAGCAGTGTGGGCTGTGCCAGCTCCCTCGGTGCTCTCCTTGGTGCTCCCATGGCTTTGCACGATCATGGGAGGGATGGAGCARCACGGGCTGGCCAACAGCCTAAGGCTTGGGTGGCTACCAAGGTTCTAGACCCCAGGTTGGCTACCAAGGCCCTGGATTGGCTACCAAGGCCTGGATGGGAYGATGTGCTGGTGAGAGCTCTGCATGTGCCGCCAGTGTCCTCTTTCCCAGCACCTCGGTGTCCTTGTGGTGTCTCTTGCAGAACGAGACGGATGACAACCAGATCCAACTGGTGGGCGGCGATGTGGAGCTGCCCAAGGAGCTGGCCAAGATGATCGAGCAGGACAACGAGGAGGAGGAGGAGAAGAACTCCGTGATCGGGCAGCTCAGCAACATCCAGAATCTGGACCTTGACTCGCTCAAGGACAAAGCATCGGCCACACTCGAGGACCTCAAGCAGTCAGCTGAGAAGTGCGCTGTGATGTGAGGCAGCCAAACTCCCTGTGCCCCCGTCCCGTGCTCTCTGGTGGCCCCGACGTGCCCATCCCCTTTCCCTCTCCAGCCTGAGGTGAGAGTGGGCAGTCCCAGCCCCCCCTGCAGAGCCCRATGCCCTTGGCATAGCGTGGGAATGGCTGCCTGGCAGTGGGCGCCGTGCTCCTTCCAGGAGGAGAAAAATACACGGAGAAGGGGGAAAACCCAAACCCTCAGGTCCCAGGTGCAAGGGAGAAATGCCTCCATACGTGTCGTGCTGTAACTGTGTGCTGTGCCCTGCTGGGTGTCTGCACCTCCTGTGCTGTCCCTGTGCCCCGGTACCGTTGCCACCGGTGGAATAAACACCCGGAGATGTCTATGCAGCTTGGTGCGTCACGGAGCTCCCTCTCTTGCGCCAGCATCGCAGTTCCACACAGTCCCGGCGCGGCTCCAGAGCTGGAGGCACAAAGGCGAGTGGGGACACAGCGGGTGGCGGGCGGGAGGGATGGACAGTCGCACACAGCCTTTCCGAGGCGCTGTGACCTCCAGAGCCCTGAGGACGAGGCTTCACATGTGCACATCCCGAAACCTTATAAGCGAAGAATTAGGGGGGATTAAGGCCTGGAATCATTTCTCTCACTCGTGTTTGCTAAAGCTCTGCATGATTCCCCGAGCGCTGAGCTCAGAGCCTCTGCCGACAGGACAGTAGCTCGTCCCCACAGCTTTCATTCTCCAACGTGCATTCTAGCACCTTACGAGCTCTTGGAGAACCTTCACTGCAGCACCCTACGAGCCCTCAGAGAACATCTGCTGGTGGCTGCTCTTAGAAATAACCCCATCAGGAAGAAATCCCGGGCAGTGTAGAGGTGTCCGGCACCGAGGCGYTGGCCACTGCGCAGGCACACAGTGCCACACTGCTGGCATCAGCGTGAGCAGTGACATTTAGGCAGCACGCGGCAGGCCCTCATGCACAAGTAACTTGGATGCGTTCCGAAGCCACGGGCTGGCCCGCAGGGACCTGCCACCGCTCCAGCCACTCCGGGAAAGGCTCCGTATGTGCCTGTACGGCTGCAGTGCACGTATGTGCTTATGTACGATCCATGCAGCAGCCGGCAAGCTCGCGTGAGCTACAGAGCAGGGCAGGCAGCTTGGAAGCTCTCTAAAGCCTCGGGCCATAATCTCTGCTCAGTTTTCATAAAAAAAAGCATCCCAGCGCTTCGCCGCATCTGCCTGGGAGCTCTCCGGAGACAGCGCCAGAGCAGCCTGGCTCCTGGCGGAGCCCGCAGCAGCGCAGGGCAGAAGGGAGCAGGATGCACGGAAGCGGTAGCACCGCGGGAAAGCAAGCATCGAGGAAGGCAGCTAGGACAGCCACAGGAGCCCCCCCGGGCGCCCCCAGCCCCTCCTGAGAATTTGGGGGGATTTCAGAGGTTTTGGGGAGTGCATTTCGATGCACAGCTCTGTGTGTGCCGGCTGGCTATCTGCTTTACATAAAGATGCAGAGGGGAAATAAGGTCAGAGCGCGTGTGGCTGCTTGTGTCTCCGGGAGGTTGGGCTGGGATGGKGGGGGGTAGGAGGATCCAAGCCAGGGATTGCTCTGGGAGTCAGGGGGTCCCATTCATCCTTGTTTTGCGCTGATTCAGGGCACCAAGGCAAGAGTGGAGTGTTTGGAGAGGAGGAAAAGAGTATTTAATAAAGACAATAAAWTACATCCCCTTGAAATACAGCAGATTTGGAGAACAGCCCCTTGCTTCATGGGGTGCACTGCTCCCATAGATGACTTGTGCTTTGGGGTACAGGGGGGTCTGTGGGGCCAAGGCGCTGCCCCAGCCGGACCCTGGCCTGGGTTGGTACCCCTTCCTCACGAGCTGGGAGAGGGAAAAGGAAAAATCATCGGGAGGAAGCAGAGAGGCTCCGTGTGACGTCCTGGCATACCTGAGCATTAGCAGCATGCACGAACCACCCATGTCTCCGCTGAGAACTGGGAACACCTCCGGACACCAGTGACAGGCGCAGGACACATCTGTCTACTGAAGTCTCTCCCCCGAGCCTAGTACAAACCAAGCTTAGCACCAGGGCCCGTCTCTGTCAGCGTGATTAGACAGAGCTTTGCAAGGCTGAGCGGGCYGGCACGCGTGGAGGTAGTCGGTGCTACGACCAAGGCACAGCTGTGGGATCCTGGAGGGAAATCAGAGCAATTCCCTGCTCCGCAGACAGCTCTGGAAGCGGATGCAGCCCCATGGCTCCAATCCCTGCTGCAGTCAGGGGATGGTCTCCCCTGAAAGCAGTCGATTGGGGCTTAGGAATTATCTGTTGGAAAAGGCAGGAGGCGTGCGGGGCCAGCGGGAAGGCTGCACGCCGTGGGGGGAATTCTGCAGGAGGCCAATGCCAGGATAAAAATACTCAGCCCGTCACAGCCAGCAGAGGGAATTAGGGTGGAATAACCTGCCTGCTGTGGTCACAGCAGGCTGCTTCAGCAGACGTTCACGGCAGGGCTCGGAGGGAACTCCTCGCGCTGGGAAAACGAGTTAACACATCCCGCAGGGCACAAGCAGATGGCCCCGCGGAGCCGCACGCTCTGCTCACTCCAGCAAGGGCGAAAGGAGCAGCCAGAGCAAGCCGGGAAGGGACGGCGGGAAAGGCAGCCTCGCCGGAGTYCACACCAATCCGTACAGATCCGTACAAGGAAAGAGAAGGTTCCATGATGCATGTGACATCGACGTCTCAATGGCAGTGCCCTGAGGCTGGACCAAGCCGCATGGGGCAACCCAGGCTGTCCTGTGTCACTGTCCTTGCCGTGGGCTGTCTCCGTGGGGCATCACTGCAATGTACAGGCTGTGCCGCAGAGGAAGAGGGAAAATAGTGTCACACAGTCGGGGACAGGACCCATCGCGACAGCACCAGGGTGTCCTGGGGCTCCCGAAGCACCAGTGAGGCTGGGGATGCTCTAGGGTAGCCACGAATGAGTGGATAAGGCTCAGTGGAGCTCCCCGTCACTCCTACCACGAGGCTGTGTCCCCAAGGGGCATTAGAGACAGGAGAAACAGCCTCGGCCAGCCCCGACGGCTGCAGGGGCTTAGTGCTGGCAAGAAAAAGGATTAAAATAATCATCATAACAGAAATGCCCTGAGGATATGGGCAAGGATTTGTGCGCAACAGGGGGCTGYTGTGGCCCACGCAGCCTCTTGCGTCACTCCAGCCCCAGCTGTGACAGGGATCGTGGCTGAGAGAGACGGAGAAGACCGAGCACCTCAAAGGCTTGGGGACGTCGCCCAGTTGGTCCTCACTGCCTGTCACGTCTGACAGTTCCGTCTGCATTTCCCAGGTAAGGTCCCAAGCAGGGGTGCTTCCCCAGACTCCCTCTGCAAAGCACCCCCACCCTCCCCTGTTCCCCACAAGGAGAGAGGGGCCTGGGATGCGGGACAGGGATAGCGCAGAACGMGTGCCACACTCACAGTTCCGGACAGACTCCGCCAGCGGCTCCTTGCTCATGGATTGTGCCTCGCGCATCTGTGKTGAGAGAGGAGCCTCGGGCAGCCCCACATCGGCCCCTACCTTTCGTCCAAGTCCCCTCAGCAGGCCCACCTTGATCTGGTCTTTCAGGCACTCGGCTCGGCCCATCAGCGCCTGGATCTGCAACACGGACGGCTATTTTCAAGTCTTCTACTTCCTCCCATGTCACGGCTGTCCCCAAGGGAYGTGGCCTCCAGTTTACCAACTCACCTCAGCGTGGAGTAGCTCCCGCCGCCTCCCCGCTGGCTCAGCTGGAGAGGGAAGCGGTGCCATCAGGGGGGCAGGCAGCAGGGACTGCGTGGGGGTAGCCCCAGTCGCAGTCTCACAAGCCACTGTGGCCATAACTCACCCGCCAGGAGGAGCAACAGCTCGCCCAAGCTCTGCTGGTAGAGCTCCAGGGCATCCTCGTCAGCCCTGCCTTCCTCCTCCTGCAAGGGGTCCCGTGTGGAGGACAGTCAGGCTTGGGGCACACACAGGACAGATTTTTCTCCTCCACCYGGGTGCTTCCCACGGCAGTCCCCAGCTCCAGGACTCACCTTGGAAATGGCTTCGGAAGCCAGCTCCAGCGCCGCGCAGAGACGAGGCTTGTCCTTCGCCATCTCTGCAAGAGGACATTGCAGGAGAGGCACCACAGAGCAGCTCTGGACTTCGGCTCAGAGCCACAAGAGAAGCCCTCCCCCTGCTCCACTGCAAGTGTCTCCCACTGACGCCTTCCCATTCCCCATTTGTGGGCACCTTTGAGGAGCTCGCGGGCAGGGTTTCCTTGCTGCAGGAGGCTCTTGCTGTCACACATGACCAGAGCTTTCAGCTCCTCTGCACGAGAGATGTACTGTCCCACCTGGTGACAACGGGGTGGCACATTAGGGAACTCTGGGGGGGGGCCACCCATGGGGTGTCCTGCTGCCAGGGGCAGGGAGAAGAGAGCAGAGGGGTCCAAAACTCCCCAGCAGAGCATCAAGTGTCACATGGACACCAGCCYGGCATATGCCGCTCACCTTGGCCTGGATCGCTTCTTTCCGTCGAACATCACTTTCATCTGCAGGAAGAGTCATGGAAAAGCAGAGGGGTTTGTGCAGCCCTCACGGTATACCAGCAAGCCAGCCACAATCTGGCCACCGGTGTCCTGAAGTCCCTTCCTCTGTCCTTAAGGGACCCACTCACAGTGCAGAGCAGGCACAAAATACTCCAGGGCTTTGCAGTAAAGTGAGAGTGCGGCTGCCGCATCCCCCTCCTGGTCCTTCTTCACCGCCTCCACCACCAGGTTGGTCTGCGGAAAGGGAGCTGGGCGCTGGGAGGCAGATTCCCAATGTGGGGAGCCTGCACCCCGCATCACAGTGCCCCACTCACCGCCTTGCTGAGGCTCTCCGGGCCTGGCATGTGCTCCATGTCCACGAAGGGGTGGCTGAAGAAGTCCTCGAACGAGATGCGCTTCAAGGGGTCCCGCTCCAAGAGACGTTGCAAGAGATCCCGGCACTCCGGCGAGAGCCGGGGCCGGCTGGGCAGCTGCCGAGGGATGGGGTAACCCCACTCTGCCGCTCCAGCTGGCCCACGACCCACCGGCCAATGTCCCCAGCATGGACCATGGATCCCACACTGGTCCCTCTGGACACGGCACCACTGCAAGYCACCCCTTCCCCTCCACAGGCAGCCAGCCCTGCGCCCATCACCCTCCTTGGGACGGGGTGGCCCTACCTCGATGACTCGCTCGCTGCGGATCTTCTCCTCCAGCTCCGCAAATGACCTGGAGGCAAAGGGTGGATGTCCGAAAAGTGCCTCTGCAGGGGAAGAAAGTGCCGGGCATGAGCCCAGGGTGGCAGCATTCCCAGGTCCATCCTGCTTGGGATACAGGACATTACCCCTCAGGGCAGGTAGCTGCCTGCTGGTAGCTGGTCCCCTGGACAAGCAGGACGGGCTGTGGGATATTCACTGGAAGGGAGATGTCTCAGGTCAAGGATACACCAAGGGATGGGTGCTGCTAGATCTCCRGGTCTGCAAAGGGACCCTGTGTGGCCTGGCCGGTGACCTCCCAGCTGCCAACCCTATGGTGAGGATGGTCCCCCATGGCCCCGGAGCATGGACAGGAGCAGGAAAAACCTCCCCAAAGGGCCCTGGAAAGCCAAGAAGGAAGTGCAAGAGCACCGTAGAGGATAACGCCCAGTGACCAGAGGTCTGCACGTGCATCGTATTGCTGGCAGCAAATCATCTCCGGCGCCATGTAGAGCGGTGAGCCCCTCAGCACGTGCTGCTCATCCCACGGGGACATGTACTGAGCAAAGCCGAAATCTGCAAGGAGGACATGGTGGAGAGGGCTCTTTCACCAACACAGCGCAGAGTTGGGCCGGTCCCTGCAGGACCATGGGTGAAAAAGAGCCCCAGCAGGCTCAGGCATACCCCGTCAGATCCCTGCATCAAGAGGGGCTCAGGAATCCTCCTCCTGGGATGCAGGAGGAGGACTGGGGACATTCCAGGGGACATTTTGGGGCAGCCTCACAGGAGCTTGGGAGCTCCCTGTCACCCTCAGCAGGGACTGGAGCCGGCTCTCCCACCTGCCAGCTTGAGCTGGGGCTTCTCCAGGCTGCTCAGGAGGATGTTCTGCGGCTTGAGGTCCAGGTGCGAGATGTTGCGGTCATGCAGAAACTTGAGGGCACAGGCTGCACGGGCAGAGGGGCATGCAGCGGCGGAGCGGGGGGACAGCTCCTCCTGTCCCTTCCCTGCCACACACACGGCTCCCAGCGCCYGGGCTTTCCAGGGAGAAGGGCTGCAGGAGAGGCGCTCACCGAGCTGCTGCAGAAAGACACGCACCACCTTCTCGGGCAGGCTGCGCCGCGCGCGGATGAAGCGGGAGAGGTCTCCGCCGGCACAGAACTCCATGATGAGGTAGATGTGGTTGGTGTCCCACTGTGGGGCGAGGCCGCGCTGTGACCCGTGCCCGGCCGGCGAGGCCCGGCCGCAGCCCGCGCTCTACCTGGAAGTCCTTCAGCTCCACGACGTGCGGGTGCCGCGCGGCCTTGAGGATCTCGATCTCGGTGAGCAGGTTCTCCACAGCGGCCCGGTTGAGGCTCCGCTTGCTCACGCACTTGACGGCCACCACCTCGCGGGCGTTCTCCTGSGGAGCGGCCACGGCGTGTCCCCAGGTGCCACCCAACAGGTCCCCAACAGGGGCTCCCAGGCGGAGGCCTCCCAAGGGACACRCTGGCACACCGGGAACCCTGTGCTCCGGAGGAGGGGTCCAGGCGGAGCCCACGGCAGGGGGATCTGGGAGAAGAGCGCAGTGGAGCTCCGGGGGGATGTGGGTGGTCCTTGCAGCAGATCCCGGCCCGGGGCTCCCGGGAGGATCCCGGGAAGCGGAGCTTTCCCCGAGCGGGGAGGGAAGATCCCGMCCCGGGAGTCGGTCCCTACCTTCCTGTAGGCCTTGTAGACCGTGGCGTAGGTGCCGGCGCCCAGGCGCTCGGTGAGGATGAACTGGTCGAGGCGCGGCGGGGCCCAGCCCGACCGGGCCATGCCGGCACCGGCACCGGCACCGGCACCGGGGCGCGCTCCGCTCCGGCCCCCTGCTCCCGCACCACGGCGACGCTTCCGGCCCCGGCCCCGCCCACCGCGCTG